TTATGCATGGCTCTTCCCATGACTCAACATAAATTTGTTATTAAAGAGAAAATTTGTGCAGATGAAATAGAGTGAATACTGCGGAAAACAAATTATAATAAAGCTACTAGCTCTGATGTTATAGGTAGAATAGTGGAAACGCAGTCAGTCGTTTTCAGAAGGGCACTTTCTACCCCCATTTAAAGTAGGACAAATTATTCCGCTTTTTAAAAGCGGAGAACACCGGTTACCAGATAACTATAGTCCCATTACCTTACTTCATGTTTTTTCAAACGTGACATGACTCAACCGCGATTAGGCTTTTTAGCGAAACGACTTTCTCGCGAATAAAACTGTGGTGGCACTAAGCAACGTGAGGCTGAGTGTGGAAAGAATTTCATTGGCGGAAGGGTAAATTCGCGGGAAAAGTTCGCGGAAGAGTCGGTGTACCTTTTTCAAAACCTTTAGAAAGGGTAGTCTATTTGCGGCTATATGATTACCTAAAGAAGAAAACTCTCCTGACACCTTTACAGTCTCATTTTCATCATCGGGATTCCATAGTGCATCAGTTAATAGCAGTCGAGTTAGGGATGTAAGACGATCAGCTAATTAGAGGTATTTTTCTAGATTTCAAAAAGGCTTTCGATTCAGTCCGGCATGTAGGATTACTTTGCAAACTTGAGCAAAAAGGCGTTTCGGGCAGCATGTTGAAATGGTTCTCCTCTTATCTTTCTGATCGAACGATTGAAACAAAGATAAATGGCACCAGCTCAAGTAGAAGGAAAATTAATGCAGGAGCTCCACAGGTGTTGTTTCTTATTTATGTAGAAGGTTAGTTGGATCACACATGGGAACCGAAAACTGCTCGGAATAGTATTTACAAAAGTTCGTCAGTATTTCTTTTTTATCAGATATAGTTGTTTCACCCATCATTAATTTCGAAAAAAAAGGAGACTTTTTGATCTATAAACTCGAGATAAATATGACCAGAAAGCGGAGCCATTTCTACCATGCGTATTTTCGATGGATGAAAGAAAAATATCCCATCTATCTGACTTATATTTATGTATCTCTGTTCTAACTGTACGTGACATTGCTCGTAGCAGGACTCGATCTTCTCATATCTATAATTATAATACCTCTTTCGAACTTTCCAACTTGTTGAAAGCTGTGTCGGTGGTAGATCGCGTAGAAAAGATGAAAACAAGACATGCATCTTTACTGTTAGACTGGTTGACTTTTATTGATGAACACTTAAAGGCAATATAAAATATATAGTGTTGGTTATTTTTATTTTGTTCTTTTCCTCTGCACACAGGCACTAACTATTATGGTATGTTTGTCCTCCATGATATCTCTATGTATACCTTCCCTTTTTTGTCTCTTTTTGTTGATGTATTTTTATATTTTTGTGTCTGCGTCGTTCGTGATCTCTTATCAACCTTATTCCCTTACAGTCAGATTATTTACAGCTAGTAAACCTGAATGGAGATTTAAATCATGTTGTAATACTGCTATGTGTTGTTTATTTTTATTGTATCCAGGTTGATAAATATGTCCATCTTTTTTTATATCCATTTCTGCAAGCGCTTCCGAGCGTGATAAATAAACGGCTCAATCCAAAACAAAGAAGAGAACGTGGATAAGTTTCAGAATTTGTGCATATATGTCGCAGAAGTTTCTTAATAATGATGAAAATTCTATCTGCTTCAATGGCTGGTTTCTTCTAAGTTCTTAATTTATATAATCAATTGATTATAATTTTATTTTTCGATGTGAGTAAAAGTTATTAAAACTGTAGAAAAGAAATAAAGCAAGAAGTTGTCGCGACAACATGATCGCGCCCGTACTCAACCAAAGATGTTGTGAGTTTTCCAGAACTGCTGCACGTAACCATCATATTCGAGGCCTTGAAAAGATGTGAGCGAATATTCTCACTTATGTCCTTTGAGCACCTTTAAGCAGAGGTAAAGCGGCGAGAGGAGATGGCCAGCGAGTGTGATTGTTGGCTGCACTGTATAGCTGTGAGTAGTGTTTTCCTTTCAGTCTCTTTTCGTATGCATCTTGAAAATTCGATATCTCGAAAACAAAGGCGCGAGGGGATAAATCCTCTTCAGGTTTTTCATACCTCATTGAGGTCTACCTATCGCCAAAAGATGGGACCTAAAGGGCTTAAACACCTAAATATATTCCCTCGTTAGTGTTTTGACGGGACCATATTCCATTCGCGAAATGTACCTTTTTAATTCTTTTGTCTTATCAGATGTAGCTTTCGTTTTTCCTTTGTAATGTCTATTTTCAAATTTAACTTGAATAATATCGCCAATTGTGACGAAGGACAGAGGTGAGCGTGTAATCTTTCTGACAACAGGTTCACCTATGCTTTTCGTAATCATAGATTTTTATGATTATTTTTCATAATTATGCTGCACATTGAATGCAGGTAGTAGAAAGAGTGACCCTTAGTTCCTCACCCTCGCTCTTCTACGTATGTTTCAATCGTGAGTGATCGTTCTCAATCAATTTCCAGAACCACACAATAGTTAACCCTCATACTTTGATTGCATAGTCTACAGTCGCTGAAGAGTATTTGTTGTGAGTTTGAAGTGGAACTGATGTTAGAATAAGTTATGCATTTTTCTTGGAAAGGACCTCATATCTCAGAACCTCATTTTCAAGGACCTTGCCCGTAAAATAGCTGTATTTCACTGACTACTAACAGCCAACTCACAAAATTTCATATCGTGGATACAGTAGAGACGTGGCTACATTTTAGTATAAAGAAAAGTTTTGACTTGGCTTGGGTCAGGAGCTATTTATATTTTACGAAAAAGACATAAATCGCTTATATCTCACGAACCATCTAGTAAAAGAGTCCCATACTTGGTGGGTGATCGGCATTCGGTAAGAGCTATGACTACACAAAAATAAAAGTCCCTAGCTGTCATGGTTCTGGAGTTACAGTGGGCTCGCTACTTTTGCGGAGTACTGTACCTTTAGCGGTTTTATCAAAACTAGATTTCTAATTAAGACGCTTATTAGAAGGTAAGGAAACCATTGAGATTATTACAACATTTTCAAGAACTTAATGATAGTCGCTTACCGTTATGAATCTTAAACTTTTCTGCCAAACTTTTGCAACAGGAAAAGTTGTTCTAGTTTAATTAATAGCAAGAAAACTGATTTATAAATACTGACCTCCTTTTCCTAAACTTTAACTGCGCATGTTATCCAACTGTATTATTTTCTCCCTAAAATACTATGTTTCAGTAACACTTAACAAAAATATGCATTTATACAGTTAATTTTATGCAGACTTTTATATTGATTTTGTGTTATCGTTCCTGTCTTCTTAACAACTTAATCCAATAATAAGTAATGATTTGACGACAGAAAAGTAAATAAAAGCATACATTGCAGAAATTCTCAAGTAGCATATGTATCGATATTTATTATTTTCGGTATACAAAGTGACAACAAAAAACTAGCGAATTTCTTATTTTTATCAACTTATTTCTTCGTTTATTTGTTTACCGTCTGTACCAATTACCGTCTATCCCACCGTTGTTATAATGATTCCAACTGAAATTTCTAGAGTCTAATGCTTGTAATTCTTGAGCTCTTGCTTCATAAGCGCTACTCGAAGCTGAAGCACGAACCATCGTGCTTATACCTCGATTTCGAGCTTGATTAAATTGAATATCTAGATTATCACCATTTGCTCGCCCGTGATCGTTTACTCTTGAATGAACATCGTTAGACATACCAGAGTATCGAATATTCGGTCTGCCTAGTCCAGTTGTTGTTGCAATTTGATATACTCCTACAATGTAAGACTGCAGTTTTCTACAGCTTTTATCCATACTTATCAGTCAGAATAAAAGCGGAAAGTCATTAAGATAGAAGTAAACAAAGAGCTCTTACTATATATTTCACTTTGAACCTTTTCAGCAGTGTCCAGTTCTACAATTCCGTGGAAATTACTACAACTGGCAGAATTTGACACATTCAAAGGTGTGCTGCTCCTAAGATTCTGAATTCTGCCAATTCTGTAAGTGTCCACGGAACTGTGGAGGTAAACAACACATAGACTTTCAAATAAGACAATCGCGTGTAAATATTCTTAAAATAGTGGGTATGACCAACTGATAGCTGCGATACTGAGTAATTGTCAACTGGGGAACCCGTTGGAATCCAGCAAAATGGTTGTCGGAAATCAAACCCGTCAAGGTCTCCCACACAAACTGTTAATATCTATAGAAATTTGTTCAAAAGACTTACCAGATGCGCTAGGAGCATTATTGCCTTCGTAGTAGTTCGAGTGCCGATTTGTGAGAGTCTGCCAAGGTCCAAACGATGGCGTCTCGAATCGACTGAAGCGCAAATCGCGACTACCATCCCCATTGAGCATCTGCGGCATTGTATATCGATTATCTCGTTCGCCATCAGTTCGTTGTACCCACCTATGTCGCGAAAGCTTTTTGACATTTCTGAAATAATCACTGTAGACGTATTCTCTTGTGTTACCAGACCTTCACTGTATGTCGTGTTCTTTTATAGGCAAGATGAAAATGGGAATTTCCTAATAATTCTTTTCGAATTTTCTTTCTTCCTACACTATGAAAAAATATTCTTCAATTTTTGACGTAAGGAACTTCTTTCTTTCTATACACCAAGAGGAGGAAAATCTTGATTTACAGTCAAGAGAATTTATATCGAAGTGTATTTTATTTAGTAATCGGGTGGGGTAGAAAAAAGATAGGAAAATTTCTTCATATATTTTATTTTTCCCATATCGAAAAATAAAATTATAGTCAATTAGTTATGTATAGTAAGAACTTGGAAGAAACCAGCCATTAAAGCAAACAGAAGTTGGAGAACTCCAAATAATGGAGTGCAGCATTCCCGAGTTTCAGAAAGGTAAACCGTGCCCAAATAAGACGAACGGTTTTTTTGGGCACGGAAATTGGTAAACCGTGCCCATTTCGGCTAATTACCGTTCCCAAATAAATAACCGTGCCCAAAACAGTCAAAAGATTTTTTTGGGCACGGAAAAGTGACAAACCGTGC